CCCCTCTGCTCCCGACTGTGGCCCCTAAGGGTTGCCACAAAGGACCATGTGAAGACCACTGGTGTGGTCCCATATACAGGTCATGAAAAACAGAATGACCGAGACTGATGGAGAGGAAGTACCTTTTCCTGGTCTGTGCAGTTCTTTTTCTCCAAGTTTCTTAGTTCTCTGACCCCCTGAATTTCTTTCTTGGTCTTTCTTTCTCTTACCTCCTCTGAATTTATGAACAACATTGCCATCCCTCTCACCTTTCTTTTCTGAGTTGACTAGTTCCTTTCACTTAGAATTTAACTGTAAGAATCGACTCACACACAGTCTAGAATTCCATCTCTGTTCATTGTCTCTAGCTAAGCAAGTGGCCTTACTTTCGGGAGTCAGGGTGAACCCGGAAGATTTGGTGCAGTGGGGTGTGTGTTCCTGTGTAGGTGATCTGAACACTGCCTGGAGGGCCTGGGAGCCAGTGGCCGTGCTTTGGCCGCGATGATACCAGTATCATCCCTTGCTTGTGCATCGCCAGGCTAATGACACTCGTGGCGTGAGCGTTTCTGTTTACTGAGGATCGGTGGTCACACAGAGGCCCATCAGTCCAATTTTAGAAAGCACGTGTCTCTTGTTTGGCTCTTTACATGAACACTCTCTAGTTTCTGTCTGCAGGGAGAGGACCCAACTCTCCAGTCCAGAGAATTTGTGACAGAATGACCTTTGAATTACACACTGTGTGTCTTTCGTCAATTAATACTTTGAGAGAAAGACTACTTACTATATCTAGTAAATGAAGCAGTCTGGAATCAGAGTAGTCTTAGTTTCTTTATTAAGAAATCTCACATGAGAAATTGATCTATAATTACTTCATAATCATGCCATAGATTATATTAATTAAATAAATCTCAGAAGTTACCTGTTTGACTCTATACTTTTTTTTTTTTATCCTCATCCGAGGACATTTTTCCATTTTTTGTTCAACTAGAGTGGGAGGGAGAGAGAGAGAGAAACATCGACGTGAAAGGGACACATCGAGTGGTTGCCACGTGCACGACCCAACCAGGGCCGGGGACAAACTGCAACCGAGGCACACACCCTTAGCAGGAACTGAGCCCGGGTCTCTCTGTACCACAGGCCAACACTCTAACCGGTGAGCCAAACCGGCCAGGGCTGACTCTATACTTTTAATGTGGGATCAAAAAACCCTGAAAGAGACTTCCGGTCAAGATGGCGGGTAGGTAAACGCGGTATCGCGTCCTCCCACAACCGCATCAAAGTTACAACTAAACTACAGAACAACCATCATTCAAAACCACCTGAAATCAAGCTGAATGGAAGTCCTACAACTACGGAATTAAAGCAGCAGCCACATCCAGACTGGTAGGAGGGGCGGAGGGGACGGGCTGGTCCCACACCCACGTGTGGCGGATAAAAATCAGGAGGACACCTGAGCCCGGGTCTCCCTGGGAAGGCCCTCCCTGAGGACTGAGGGGTCCCCGTCCCACACCAGGTGCCCTGCTCAGGGTTCCAGTGCCAGGAAGAGAATCCCCATAACTTCTGGCTGGAAAAACCAGCGGGAACTGAGGCTCAGGGAGTCTGACGCGGCTGGAGCCCCAGGCAGCTCCTTAAAGGGCCCACGCACGGACTTATCGGACTCTCTCCCACTAAGCTTGGAGGGGAGGCAGCTCGAGGGGAGCCAGAGACATACAGGGAAGAACTGAGCTGTGTGGCCCTGGAGCGAGGGCTGGAGAGGAGGCTTTCTCCGGGGCAAACATGCTATCAGAGGTCTTTGCTCCTTTGGTGAGTCCTTCCCTGGGGTGGCAGACAGCCACCATATCTGGGACTCCAGCAACCTGGCTCACACTGGTTGCCCCACCCCACCCAACTTTCAGGCCCACCCAAGCTGTTGCCACTTGCTTAACCGTAGGATTGGCCTCTCTTGGATCCTGCTTCAGGTTTTTCCTAAACTCTTTCAAACAAGCAGCATCTGGTCTCAGCTAGCCCCATACCTCTCGTTAAGTAATACACAAACAAGCACAGGGAGGCAGCCAAAATGAGGAGACACAGAAACAGGTCCCACATGAAAGAACAGAACAAAACCCCAAGAAAAGAACTAAGCGAAATGGAGATAAGCAACCTAACAGATGCTGAGTTCAAAATATTGCTTATAAGGATGCTCAATGAACTTAATGAGAACCTCAGTGAACTTAGTGAGGGCCTCAAGAGCATACAAAAGTCAGAAATGATGGATGCACAGTCAGAAATGAAGGAGGCATTAACTGAAATAAAGTAATTTTTTTTTTTTTTATCTTCACCCGAGGACATTTTTCCATTTTTTGTTCAGATAGAGTGGGAGGGAAAGAGAGAGAAGGAGAGAGAAACATCGACGTGAAAGGGACACATCGAGTGGCTGCCACCCGCACGACCAAAAGAATAATTTACACAAATTCAATAGTAGAGTACCATCGATTTGGAATATAAGGAAGCAAAAAATGCCCAATCAGAACAGCAAAAAGAGAAAAGAGTCCAAAAAAATGAGGATAGTGTAAGGAGCCTCTGGGACAACTTCAAGCTGCCAACATTCGCATCTTGGGGGTGCTGGAAGGAGAAGAGCGAGAACAAGAAATTGAAAACCTGTTTGAAACAATAATGGCAGAAAACTTTCCTAACTTGGTGAAGGAAACAGACATACAAGTCCAGGAAGCACAGAGTCCCAAATAAGATGAACCCTAAGAGGCCCACACCAAGACACATCATCATCAAAATGCAAAAGGTTCAAGACAGAGAGAATCTTAAAAGCAGCAAGAGAAAGGCAGCTAGTTACTTACAAGGGAGTTCCCATAAGACTGTCAGCTGATTTCTCAAAAGAAACTTTGCAGGCCAGAAGGGAGTGGCAAGAAATATTCAGAGTGATGAAAAGCAAGAACCTACAACCAAGATTACTCTATCCTGCAAAGCTGTCATTTAGAATTGATGGCCATATAAAGACTTTCCCAGACAAGAAAAAGCTAAAGGAGTTCATCACCACCAAACCGTTGTTATATGAAATGATGAAGGGTCTTTTTGAAGAAAAAGATAAAATATATGAACAAACAAAATGTCAGTGAATACGTATCTATCGACAATGGAATCTACAAACAAAATGAACAGGCAGAACAGAAACATTCTCATAGATACAGAGAACATTTTGTTGGTTGTCAGATGGGAGGGGGATTGGGGGATTGGGTGAAAAAGGTGAAGGGTTGTCAGATGGGAGGGGGATTGGGGGATTGGGTGAAAAAGGTGAAGGGATTAAGAAGTACAAATTCATTGCTAGACTGACAAACCTCAAAGGGAAAGGGGTTGGAGGTTGGGAAGAAATAAACCAAAGACACAGACAATAGAGTGGGAAAAGGCGGGAGGGGGGCGGGAGTGGGGAGGAGGGGGTCAATGGGGGGAAAACGAGGAACATCTGTAATACATTCAACAATAAAGATTTAAAAAATAAAAAAATAAAAAAAGAAGAGAAAAAAACCCTGAAAGAACAATGGCTTAGAAGACTGTGAACCCCCTTAAATTATCTGCCTCTCTTTGTGTTGATGTAGGTGTAGTTGTCCCTTGCCACTTCGTGCTTCAACTTTCGTAGCTTCACTCTATCGCAGTTTTTTCAAATATATTCATTAAAAATGTTGATTGAGCCCTGGCCAGTTTGGCTCAGTGGTTGGAGCTTCGGCCGGCAGACCTAGGAGACCCGGGTTCGGTTCCTGCTAAGGGCACATACCTCAGTTGCAGTTTGTCCCAGTCCGGGTTGGGGTCATGTGGGTGGTGACCAGTTGATATATCTCTCTCACATAGATGTTTCTCTCTCTCTCTTTCCCCCTCTCTCCCTCCCATTCTATCTGAAGATAACAACAAAAAATGTCCTCTAGTGAGGATAAAAAAATAAAAATAAATAAAAAATTAAAATGGTTAAGGTGGCGAATTAAAAAAAAAAAAGTTGATTGAGACAGTGAAAATGATACAGCATGTGCTTGGTTGGCTGAGTCAATTATACACCCCTGTATTACAATTAAAATTATTGTACGTGTGGACTGTAGGCTTGTGTATTCGAGCACCCCAGGAATCCTTCAACGCCAGGTGCAACCGCTAGAGTCTGGAACGGATTAACCGTGATAAACGAGGGACGACTGTACATCATGAGATGTAAAACGTTTCTGACATGCCTCCCCACAGTTGCTTTACATGTTGAATCGAACCCTCTGTAGCAGATGTAAGGAACCTGGTGTGAAGACCCCAATGGCAGGCAGCATAACCACCCCATCATCGGGTCAGTGCACTCTCCTAGCGGCCTCGTATCAGCGGGTTCTGGCCCGGCCTCGGCTCTACGGAAAGCGTCATTTGTTGGAGTGGCAGTGGTAATAGCAGAGAGTGAGGGCTCCTGTTTTGTAAGTGGGCAAAACTGGGAGTGTCATGCATTTCAGCAAGAGCTTTTCATGAGAAGGCAGCATTGGCTGCTAAAGGCAATACTTAATTGTTTCAGCAAATCAATTAGCCTTTAGGGACTTTAATCAGTCAAATCTGATGCATGGATGAGGTATTAGAAAGCGTGTGCCTGTAAGACCATTAGTCCTTAGTCCCTCCCTGCCTCCCTCCCTCCCTGCCTGTATTATGCGTGTATGTATGTAAACACTGTGGCTTCCACAAATTGCTGCTAGTGATCTCTTTATTGGGAGAACTTGAGGTAGCAGATGGGTTACTCGTGTAAGAGGAAAAGCAAGATCTCAGTACCCACTTTTTATAGTATAAAGTTCTCTTTGAAATTGTCACCATTGTGCTATGGGAACGTGAAAGGTGTTCACAGCCTTTCTGTTACCCTGTCGACATTTTCTCCTGTTAGAGAGACTCGGCTAAACAGAGTTGCAGGGGTGGTTTCACACCGACTAAGTCTTACTTCTCTGCTGTTTTAAGGCTCTCCCGTTTTCTCCACTGTGCCCTGCTCCCTGTCTCCACTTGGAACCAACTGTGTCCTCCTTTTCCAGATATACATCGGGGGACGTGCGGGTGTGGGACACCCGCACCTGGGACTACACAGCCCCCTTCCTGGACTCAGAGTATGAAGAAGATGAGCCTGGAATGCAGCCATATGTCTCCTTTGTGAGGATAAACAGCTCGCTGGCGGTAGCAGCTTATGAGGATGGTAAGTAACCACAACCCTCCTCCCTATTAAGGAAAAAAAAAATTAAGCAGCTGTGGCCAGCACCCCCCCCCATAATCCCTCCATACATACACATGGGCACACACACATGTCCACACACACACATGTCCACACACACTCACTCTTGCCTTTATGTGAAGAAGTTGGCCAATAACCCTCAATGCGTTAGTAGGCATTGGAACACAGCACCCATTAAAACTGGTGTTTAATTCCTACTGGAACTGTCGGGCTGGGTGTGAGTGCCAGACATGAGGCTGGCCAACCCATCTTAAGCAAATAACTTGTTTGGTGTAAAATATTAAATATACTTGGCCTACTTTTCCTTTAGTCTGTGCCGAGTCCAAAGAGAACAGTGAAAAGGGGTAGACATAGATAATCTATTGGCAAATACGGAAATAGAAAAAGAAAAGTCATAGCCTACCTTTTCTGGCACTTACATACCATACAAGATAATTGACGGTACTGTATTGTCTCTCTGGCACTGATTTTTGTGTATGAGCAACTGTGGACAGAAGTAGGCGAGACAAATCTAAAATAGAAACACTGGACAGTTAATAGCTAATAGGAACAATACTTGCAATGGCCATGGATATCCTATACTCCTACTCATGCTCCTAACTTCCACTACAGTGTAAAGTTTGAATATCCAGAAGCTGTGTTTCCCCACTTGCCTGAAAGCTGTATCACAAAATAGTTCAGAATGTCAGTGTTCATGTCATGGCCCCATTGCAGACTTCCAGAGTCAGTGTCACATTACCGGTTGGCTCAGATGGACTCAACTGCGGTCAAGTAAATATTGGGAATTTTATCTCCATATGCCATTGGAAAAAAAAAAATTTAGGGCTGAAATCTTGAAACTATTTTTGTTTTATTTTTTTAACAACATGATCTATTCTTTTGGTTGGACACTGATGGACTTCTTTTTTCAGCCTCTAGAAATTCAGCCAAGCTGGGTTTCTTTTGGTAATATTTTTTGTCTGTTTATCGATATCCTGGATATGAGCAGCTTGAGTGTGTTTGCTACTTTCCAAATTATCAATGAGTTTTTTTTTTTAAAAAACAACAAAATGCAAAGGTTGTGATAATTTTAAATGAGAATCATATAGTTTTAGAATTATCTAGTAGCCTCCCCAGCCACACACATGTGCACCTATACACATTTTTCTTCAGATGGGGAAACTCAGGTCCAAAGCAGCCAGCTAAGTGATTTGCTTGAGAATGAGTCATTAGTCAGTGGTGAATCCAGAACTGTGATTGGGTCTTCGGGACCATCATGGTTGTAGCGCCGGTTACATAATAGTAACCACAGAGACATGTACAGAAACATGCCATGTCTCATACCTGGTGAACTTGAAAATCCAGCCTGAGGTGATGTGCAAGTGTGCTGCAGGTTTTCTGTCGTTGATTGGAATTGTCTTTGTCACCCTCATCCCTGTTGTACACAGAAACATTGGGGGACCATGTAGATATATATCATAGAGAAACTACTTTCATCCATAAGCACTTGCCACATAATTGCCAAAACATATTGTAAATATCTGGTTTAAAAAAAAAATTCAGAGTTAAAATTCAAACAGAGCAAAAAAGTATAAAATGTAAAAAAATATATCCAAAAAGAAGTTGAAGTATTCCTCCCTGTTCCTTTGCTTCTGGGCCCCCCTCACATTTACAAGTAGAACCTGTCCTAGGTATTTTTCTGCACCTTGCTTCCTTCACCCGACAGCACATCGGTATCTTTCCGTACTGACACCTACAGGCAGACTCGCTCTCTTTCAGCCTGTGTGGCACCGCATCGCGTGGCCGTGCTGCACCTTACTCATCAGGGCCCTTGGCGATGCTCATCGGGATGGTCTGTTTTGTTACTAAAACAGTGTTTCAAGCAATGCACTTGAACAAATACCATGACGGACTTGTGCAAGCGCATCCATGGGCTGAGGGACTGGTAATTACCAAGTTGAAGGCTGCAGATGCTTTATGTTTTGATGAAGATGGCCGAATTGCCCTCCAAAAGGTCCCACCAGTCTACAGTCTTACCCAGAGTACATGAGGGTGACTGTTTCCTTGTGCCTATTGGATAGGTGGACATGGTATCTCACTGTTGTTTTGTTTGCTTATATGAACAGTTTTTCATTGTGTTACTAGTTGTTTATATTTCTTTCTCTGCAAAATGCATGTTCCTCTTTTCCCATTTTTCTTTACGTTGTTATCTTTTCTGGTTGAAAAGAAAGAACTAAGGACTATTTTAAATATCTTTTCAATTTGTTGTTTGTTCTTCAGCAGACTGTGTTTATGGCTTTTTTTCCTAGATGGTAGTTGTGTGTATGGTTTTAATTTTTTAATCCATAAAGGAGTGGGTTTTATTTTGCAATTTAATATATTTGGCTAAGTATACAGTTTTTGGGTTGTAAATCAAACTAATACAAACAACTAATAATGCAGTGAAAATATATTGAAAAGTCTTACTCATTTTTGTCTACTCCATTCTAAAGCAACCATATATTTTAGTTTGTTGTCGATACTTCCAGTATTTCTGCATTGCGAATATAAGCAAATATGAACATTAGTTCTTATCCCCCCCCTTTTTAAAATGTTTTTACTCATGTTTTTTTTTTTTAGAGAGAGAGAGATAGAAACATTGACATGAGAAACATCAATCGGCTGCCTCCTGCACGCCCGCTACTGGGGATTGAGCCTGTAACCTGAGCATGTGCCCTGATCGGGAATCGAACTGGGACCTCTCAGTCCACTGAACCACACCAGCTGGGCAATCTGTTTCTTTTTTTTAAACAATAGATGATACACCACCTTATAGTGGTCTATAACTGGGCTTTTTTCACTTAATGACATACTCTGTTATTGCATAGATTTGTTATGTAACATTGCATAAGTCTAAGGTGTATAGTGTGTTACTTTCATACACTTATATAGTGTAGTGTGATTGCCATTGTACAGTATTATTGTCTAAATTTATTATACTCTGCATTAGAACCTTATGGCTCATTTACTATTTTGTTACAAGTTTGTACCTTTAGACACCATCCGTCATTTCCTCTGGTAACCACCATTTTACTGCTTTTTATAGGTTTGACTTCATTAGATTCCACATATAAATGATTATATAATACTTGTCTTTCTCTCTGACCTGTCTTCCTTAGCATAATATGCTCAAGGTTCATCCATACTGTATCAAATGGCAGGGCATTGTCCTTTCTCATGGCTGAATAATATTCCATTGTGTGTATGTACCACATATTTTTTATCCATTCATCTGTTGGAGGTCATTGGGTTGTTTCCATATATTGGCTGTTGTGAATAGCCCTGTAATAAACATGCATGTCTTTTTTTCTTAATCCTCACCCAAGGACATTTTCTTTGATTTTGAGACAGAGAGAGAGAGACAGACAGACAGACAGACAGAAACATTAATGTGAGAAAAACATCAATTGGTTGCCTCCCGTGTGTATCCCGACCTGGCACAGGATCAAACCTGCAACCTGGATATGTGCCCTGATCGGGAATTAAATCCACAACCTTTTGGTGTATGGGACAACTCTTCTACCAGCTGAGCTACCTGGCCAGGGCAGCATGCATATCTTGAAAAGTGGTGCATGACAGTGTGTACAGAATATACTTCTCCACACCTGCATAGTATTCCACTGTACGAGTGCTGTGGCTTATTTACACAGTCCCTTATTGAGGAACATGTGTTGCTTCTGATCTTTTGCTATGGCAGTGTTATAGTGGAAACCTCGTATAAATGGCATTTCATGTAAGTATAGGAAGGATAGCTTCCTATAAAAATGCAAATGGGGTTATATTGTTTTGCACTCTTACCGGCAATGTATGAAGGTATGCTCGTTTCCTTAGTGTTTTTAGCAAAGTACATTTTAGACTTTTAGGTATTTGTCACTTGGATAGATAAGAAATGGAATCCAAATGTAGTTGCAGTGAATATTTCTCTTAGTGTGCGTTTTTGTCACATGTGTACTTGCTACTTGTAATTCTTTCTTTTTCTTCTAGTTTTTTATTTTTAAATCTTGATCCTTATAGACTCTATCCTGGAATAATAAGAGATATGAATTCCAGTATATCCTTTTCCCAGCATATCTTTTTATTTATTTTTTTATTATTGTTTTAATTTTATTTTTGTTACAGATGTTTCTCCTTTTTTACCCCATTGACACCCTCCACCCCATACCCCACACCCTGTCCCCAGCTTTGTTGTCCATGTCCATTGGTTATGCATACATGCATATAAGTTCTGTGCTTTATCTCTTCCCTCCTCCCACAACCGCCTCTTCTGAGGGTTGTCAGTCTGTATCCTATTTCCACGTCTCTGGGTCTACCCTATTCCTCAGACTGTTATGTTCATTATATTCCACAAATAAGTGAGTATTTGTGGTATTTGTCTTTTTCTGCTTGGCTTATTTCACTTAGGATAATACTTTCCAGGTTCCTCCATGTCGTCTCAAAGGATAAGAGATCTTTCTTTCTTACCGCTGCATAGTACTCCATTGTGTATATATACCACAGCTTTTTTATCCATTTGTCTACTGATGGACACTTGGGCTGTTTCCAGATCTTAGCTATTGTAAATAGTGCTGCTAAGAACATGGGGGTACATATATTCATTCTGATTGGTGTTTCAGGCTTCTTAGGGTATATTCCTAGAAGTGGGATCACTGGGTCAAATGGCAGTTTAATATTTAATTTTTTGAGGTAACACCATATTGTTTTCCATAGTGGCTGCACCAGTCTGCATTCCCACCAGCAGTATACTAGAGTCCCCTTTTCTCCACACCCTCCTCAACACTTGTTGTTTGATGATTTGTTGATGGCGGCCATTCTGACAGGTGTAAGGTGATACCTCATTGTTGTTTTAATTTGCATCTCTCTGATGATTAGTGAAGTTGAGCATTTCTTCATATGTCTCTTGGCCATTTGTATGTCCTGTTTGGAGAGGTGTCTATTTAGCCCCTCTG